GCCATTTGGGTACATGAGTGTTAATTATAGCTATGTTGTGTGCCATTTGGGTACATGAGTGTTAATTATAGCTATGTTGTGTGCCATTTGGGTACATGAGTGTTAATTATAGCTATGTTGTGTGCCACATAAAAAAAGGAGATGAGTTTTTTTTTTAGACGTAATACAGCTGCCAAATGAAATAAAAAGCTAGTTAGATGTGCTGCTCTCCTAACTCAATCAACAACACAAACAAGTCATATTATTACATTATGTATGTAGGGTTGGCTCCCTGCATAAAACGGCATTTATTTACAAGAAATTAAATAAATTTAATTCCCTTTTAAGCATTTGCTGACTTCATCATTTTAAAAAAAAAAAAACAGAAAAAATCTGTTAGATGTCATTAACTCAATTTACAAGTCTAAACAATCTTCCAAAATCTGTTAGGTGTCATTAACTCAATTTACAAGTCTAAACAATCTTCCAAAATCTGTTAGGTGTCATTAACTCAATTTACAAGTCTAAACAATCTTCCAAAATCTGTTAGGTGTCCTTAACTCAATTTACAAGTCTAAACAATCTTCCAAAATCTGTTAGGTGTCATTAACTCAACTTACAAGTCTAAACAATCTTCCAAAATCTGTTAGGTGTCATTAACTCAATTTACAAGTCTAAACAATCTTCCAAAATCTGTTAGGTGTCCTTAACTCAACTTACAAGTCTAAACAATCTTCCAAAATCTGTTAGGTGTCATTAACTCAATTTACAAGTCTAAACAATCTTCCAAAATCTGTTAGGTGTCCTTAACTCAATTTACAAGTCTAAACAATCTTCCAAAATCTGTTAGGTGTCATTAACTCAACTTACAAGTCTAAACAATCTTCCAAAATCTGTTAGGTGTCATTAACTCAATTTACAAGTCTAAACAATCTTCCAAAATCTGTTAGGTGTCCTTAACTCAACTTACAAGTCTAAACAATCTTCCAAAATCTGTTAGGTGTCATTAACTCAATTTACAAGTCTAAACAATCTTCCAAAATCTGTTAGGTGTCATTAACTCAATTTACAAGTCTAAACAATCTTCCAAAATCTGTTATGTGTCCTTAACTCAATTTACAAGTCTAAACAATCTTCCAAAAACATTCTATAAATGTTCTGCCTATTATTTCAGCTCACATTTTCTTTGATGACGCCATGGAGTTGGATGACAATAATGAACGTGTGCCCAACCGTTGGGTCAAGGATCTGGTCAGCTGTATGGATGTGGCCTGCAGGTCAGAGAGCTTGTAGTGAATCTTTTAAAAGAGGCCCACCCTGTGGGCGTGATGTGTTTACATTCTATAAAATCACCAATATTATTTAAAAGTCAAGACGCTCACATCAATGGACTCCCCACCCCCCATGACCTTTTTTGTTTTTGGAAAAGAAAAATCCGTTTTACATAGTCTTGAAAAAAAACAACCCGTCATTGAATCGACTGAACCTATTTTAATTTTTTTTTTCCCATTGAAACTCTCCCAAACTTCTTAACATTTTTATATTTTTATTTCAGTCCATGGTAAGCCAATGAAAGTTCATCCACCCACCAGTCCCCACACCTTATGGTGGACAGCTTATCTGGCAGATGCCAGGAGAAAATCTGCTCTTTGTTCACATGAAGGACATGTCCAAAATCAGAAACAGAAAAAGATGGTCTCAGGTAAATGATAAACTAATGAAATTTGTTGATTTATGATTGGAATGTAATTAAATTTAATTTGATTTCTGCAACTGGCTGACATAAGATATGAGATTGAGCTTACGTACTGCTATCCCAATGAAGCAGACATAATTGTTTTCTTTGTTCATCAGCACCATCATATACATGATATTTTTACCTAAAAGTATTTTTTGAAAAATGACATTGGTTTCAATTTTGGAGAAATTGATTATGAACCAACCTTTGAAGAGCTGATAATGACGTTAAAATTTTGCTTTGTTCCTAGCATTTTAACATAGTATTTATTTGAGTATCTCTTATCTAGAAATTCTATATTAATTGTTAAATTAATAATTTTGTTGGGAAATATGTTTCCAACAAATTTATTTTTTAAAAGCTTTTGAGGTAACTAATAGTATTTTTTTTTAAAAATTAGTCAGTAATTCTATCTTTAAATTTGGATTTTAAATAACATTTCTGTCTTCAATATGTTACATTTAATTATGTTGCTGTTTTTTCTAGGTGATGTATATGTATTACCTACTGGGATATCGTCATATCATGGCCTGTAAAAATGAAGTGCTTGAAAAAATGAAAACCA